GATTTGCTAGTCATTATTTATTTTTCTTCGAGATCGCCGAGTGAAATAAATCGGTCTAAAAATAACACCAAAACAAGAACTTGGCCAGCAATGAACTTACATCGGGCTAGTGAGTGAGGTGAGCCACACAGAAATCATTTATCATTATCAGGGGACAGCGGACATTTGAAACATTCATGAGTCGGTTAGTGCCGTAGACTTGATAAATGCTCCCAGCCTTGGAATAAATAACTGTAATGGTAGAAAGTCATCCGAAGTTTTTAATACCCTTGATGGGAATAGATTTATATTCAAGGCATACACCCTGGAGATTTGAATGCCTTTATTACAGATCATTCAAAAATTCATTATTTTAGATTTTTGAAAGTGTATATTATTGCTTTTACCCTTACTTCTTTAAAATCTTAAGTTATACATTTATGTTTATCGATTTTGCTAGCTGAAAGTTTAGAGGAATTTCCAAATTTAATAAAATGCCTATCTGTGAGTGGCGAACTTTTGAAAAGTAATAAGCCCCGTTTGCAATAAGCCAATCGAAGACACTATCAATAGTCAATTCGAATTGGTATAGCATGCATTATTCAGCTCCTCTCCCTGACAACTTCTATCACTTATTAGGGCAAACACGCACGGCTAACAGGTTGGCAAATGCACAGAGAGAAAATCTTAAAAACATATTTCAAGATAAAAATAGTCATAAAAGTAATTGGAATGCCTTACTTTAGCTATCCTGTATTTATATTTTATATTTGCATAGTTAATAAACCGTAAATAATCTTAAGCAATATAAATTATAATTTTTCTTATTGTGCATCCATTGAGGGGGTGTGCATCGACGACCATAATCGAAAATCAATAAGGTGGCTGGCACATATGAGGAATATGGCCGGCACTGGTAGACCGTTAACGTTAACGGGCAATGGCCCAAAGTTGATTATGAATATTTGATGCGGTCCGTCCAACTGCGCAGTTGACATGACCAGCAGATGAGGGCCGTAAAGGTAGTCAACGCAGTGCAGCTATTAACCATGTCTAGCAGCAGACAGCAATTTGTGCCGGGTTAATGACACCTACCACTCGAACAATGCGGTGCCTGGCACACCCTGTTGCCATCGATTTCGGCCAAGGGATCCGGGATCAAGATGACGCCATGTCGGAATGCAGGACCTCAGGGCCATAAAGCCGCGTAATACCCAATAAAAACAATTAAGTTAATACACGAATGCCCCGGAAAGTGTGCTCTCTCTTTGGTTTCAGCGGGCTGCCAAGTGCAACAATTGAGCGAAAGTGAGAACCAGCACCCACACACACACACACTTATACACATGAGGAGACCCTAAATGTTAGCCAAGGCCAAGTCAAGTTGGTCAAGAGGCAACGAATGAAGAAGAAGCAGCAGTAGCAGCGCCAGCGGCTGGAACAGCTTGCATGCCAATGGCCAATAAGTCGCTGTGGCACGCAAAAGAAAACCCCAAAAAGTACGGGGAAAAGTCGGAGGAAAGCGGCGAACACAATTAGAGTAACTTGCTTAAATTTTCAGAAAATGGAAAGTGTGCTACAGAGACGTGAGTCTTGAATCCACACTAACTTTATTTGAGCGCCCTTCGCACATTTTTGTTGGCCCAATAAAATTAGAACAAGACACTGAGAGAAAAAGTTGAAGAAACTATACATATTAGATATAAAAACCTTCTCCATTCACTAAATTACGCCAGTACAACCTCATTTCATCTTAAAACGAGTTCAGGTTGAGCAGGGCTCCTTTTACCTTGGTCTTTTCTCTCTCTGCAGCCTGGGGTCAGCTGCTAACGGATGTGGATGTGGCCGGAAGTCGATGGCGTCGAATTGGGGAAGACCCGCCAGCAAAAGGAAGTCGGGCACACCGACACAGATAGAAAGAAAGCGACTAAAGTGTTGAGGTTGCCGCTGACGCACTCTGAAGAGACGCCCTTCGCGGCCCTTGGGGAGCATTTAAAAATAAATGCACTTGACTTGCAAAATGCTTGCACCAAACAAAACAAAATGGCGCCCATAAATTTAGACAATGGCAATGGCGACGCTGGAGAGTCGGCAATAAATGTTTGCCACTCGCAAGCGGAACAAAATGGCATAACAAGAGCTACGGGCTGGGCAACATTGACACGCTTTTTGTACATATTTGTATTGCCTTTGCCTTGTTGCTATTGTTCTTGCCACGGGCCTTAGATTTAGTTTTGTTTCAGTTTTTAGTCCTGGCTATTTTTCGCCCTTCTTTCGCCGGCGAAAACAGGAAACATTCCGCCATGCAATATGCAAATGGCAAAAGCTTGGCTGCTTTTAGCACTTAAGTGGATTTTTAGCATTTGATGCAATGTATCTTGTCAGAGCCGGGGGTTTCGTTGGATAGGCAAATCCAAAGTGTCTGAAGTTTTAAATATTCATTCTTGATAAAGTGCTTTGAAGTCTGTCAAAGATTTACAAATGCCTTAACAAACTAGCCCCAACTTAGGCAGTTATCTTTTCTTAGTATATTTTACATCTCTGCTTCTCCATTATTGATCACCTCTCCTGAGTCAGACATTGAATTTTCAATCAGCGTCTCTCTCTTCTTGAATACCCCCCTTAGTACCAACGTTTCTAATTATTTTCGCTAATGTTTGCCCAACATTTTTCAATTAGCGTCAACAAAGCAAAGAAATCATTAATCACACATGAGGCTGCTAGCTGCGACGTTTCAGCGATGTCATCAAATTTAGCCAGCAACTTTATAATGTCCCCATGGATGTTTCAGCTGTTGTTTTAGCCCAGTTTTAGTAACCCGAGTAGCCCTGTTTGAAGGAAAATGTCTGGGATAAGTCAAGGCTGCTCGGCGATGGACAATGTCAAACCATTTGAGAGCAATTAAGGGGCCATTTTGTAATGTTCTGCATACGTGTTTAGCAAATTATGTTTGCAGATTTATGGGCTTCGCTAAATGTGTGTGTGGGCGTGTGGGTGTTGCCATAAATTTCAGCAGCCATTATCTGGCCGAGTTTTTATGACAAGGCCAGAAGCAGTCAAAAGAAATGCCTTTCGCCCTCTCTCACGCTTTCGACCAAGTTGTGCTGGGAACAACGAAAAGGTCTCACCTCATTAAAATGGGAAATTAATTGCATTCTGCCATGGCCTCAAGGCAATTCAACAGGTTCCAAGGTGAAGTTGGCCACTTCTCACACTCGCACACACTCACACTTGAACCCACAAACACACAGATACACACTCACACAATCAGGGAATTAATTGTCGAGCTGCGGGGCTAACATGTTGCATGCATCCTTAGCCAAGTAAAAAAATTAAAAAAAAGAGCTGAGAGTTTGCATGCAGTTTAGTTTCATTTTGCGCCAGAAATAATTGCAATGAAAATGGAGAAAAAAACTTTTGCTTTTCGTCTGCACGCGATTAAAATAAATGGAAAATTCAAGCAGCGCGAGTAAAAGCTTTCAATTGGATCAAAAATGATGGCTATAAACGCAATTAGTACCTGGTGTATGAACTAGAGTATGCTAAACTATTACAATATATTATTAAGGTGTAGTAATTATACCGGTTAAAAATTAATTCTGATTCAACCTTACATCATAAATTATAAGTCTAAAACAGAACATTTAAATACAGTTAGTGTGAAGAACATGACATGGCTTGAGCTATGTTATCACAAGCCACATTTTCTCCCACTTCCTTTCCGCTGCCTCCATCATACCCCGTCAGAATAAGCATTCCCCTTAAACTCAAACCGAAACTCGCCAGAAATGTTGTCAAAAATGTGACTGCTTGAGCTTTGGCATTGCCATTCGGCAATTATATAACTCCCAGGACGAGTGCCCACTTGGAGTAGTAGCTAATAAACAACAATTTAGTCGGACTAAAATGCAACAAAACTATATAATTTGCGTCGCAGCCATAACTTGGCTAACTCTGACCCCCGGCACGCGAGGTGAAAGGGCAGCGAGAGTGACAGGTGGCGCACAAATCAGCAATCTGCATGCGAATGGGGTATTCTCATGGGCCCAAATGTGAATATGTGAATACGAATGCGGGAATGAATACGAAATGAAGACGTATTCGACGACTGAGGTCGTAGGGTCAGTTAACATTTTTGCAGGGCACTACGCATGGCAATCCATTTGAGAAATTCGCGGACCGTTAGGCATATTACTTGCCGTTTCCGGCTGGGCGTAAAAATTCAAATTTGATTGCTATGCGGCAGAAACTGAATCACAGGGCAGAAATCTGGGCAAAGGCCAAATAGTCAAAGGAAGCCAAAAATAGACATTTAAATGCAAAGGCCCAGCCCTCGGCGATTGCAAATTAACGCTAATAAATAAAAGAAACGGCCTCGATTCTGCTGGCCGGGTCAGGAATTTACCAACAACAATTGCATTCATTTGCATACGCAATTATGCGATAATTGCCACGAAAGTTTTCCCTGGCCCCGAAATGTATGCTACAAATACAGCAGAGTCGGTGTGGGAATGGGTAACTAACGGACTTAAGGGAAGCTCACTCCACCCTGTGATTGGTTTCCTATCTTATCAGTTGTCCGCAACTATTGATTCATTGCCCACAGGCACAGTGGGCGTGGCAGCTTTAAATAGCGTGATTCAATAAGCGGATTCTACGAGAGTGATTCATGGGTTAAGCGAATGCGGTGACCTCGAACAGGGAAGGGGTTTCATTATCTTTGTACTGCAATAAACAGGTTTTTGGTAGATTTCGATAAATTATCTATTATATATTGATAATAAATCTTCATATAAGCAGATTCTTATACGAATTATTTTATCAGTAATAAATACAAATTAATTATAAAATATATAATCAGCCCCACTGTGCCGCCGTGTGTTTGATTACACGGCACGCATAATTAAGGTGCTCGGTATTTACGCGGCTTATCAGCCATCGATATGCGGTTAGATATAATTGCTTTCCAATAGGCGACCTTTACTGATTGCTGTCCTTCTATCTCTGGCCTTAAATTGCAGCTATTGCCCCCACAAAATGCTGCCAAACCACGCCTGAGCCTCAATCTCAATCTCAACCTGACAAAAGGGCCAGAACCAGAACACAACTGTGATCATAGACATAACAACGAGAGAGTGGCGCAGAGGAGGAAGCCAAAGGACACCAGAGGACACCACAGAGCCACAGCCAAAGATGAGGGAAACCAGGGACACAGCCAGCAGCCTGCCAGACCGCAACTGAGTGATTTATAGATCCGCAGATAATACCGGGCCCGGAAATCGGAATCAATTTCGCCGGCGATAGCAATCGGCAGAGGAATAGGACCAGACATCGGACACTAGAGCCGGACATTCGCCAAAGGAGGCTGTAATGACGACAATTGACGCGATGTAGCGGTGAGTCTTTACTTAACACATAAAAATATTTCTAAATTTCCGTCGAGTATAGATCCGATAAAACAGACGCTGGCTAAAAACTATTTCCTGGATAATGAATCTCCGTTTTCCACTTACAGCAGACTTATGGTCGGCGAACGCGACAGGGACCGTGAGGCGGTACGCTGGGCAACGGGTGAATTAACACCGCTTCAAACCAATAATGGAGTATTACAAATGGTCGGGCAATTGCAAGGTGGACAGGCTGCTGGCCAGCAACAGCAACAGCAACAAGCGACTCAGCAACAGCAACTCTCAAAGCAGCAGCAGCAGCAGCAGCAACTGCAACTCAAGCAGCAGCAACAACAGCAACAGCAGCAGCAACAGGACATCCTGTATCAGCAACATAACGAGGCAATTGCAATTGCACGCGGACTGCAGGCTGCAACACCTGCCGACATCGGCGATAATCAGCCGTACTACGATACAAGCGGTAATGTCGATTGGGAGCGGGCGATGGGAACCGGTGGAGCTGGTGCATATGGTGGCATCGGCATCGGATCTCTACCAGCAGCTGGCGGTGCTCCTTATCACCTTGGGCCAGCTAATCCCGCAGGCCTCGTTTCTCGTCACATGGATTACGCTGATGGCGGCCACCTTGCTGGCCCATCCGCCGGTCTTCCTGCTGGAGCTGTGGGAGCGGGAACGGGATCGGGCTTGGTATCGGGAGGATCAGCCGTCGCTGGACCGGGAGCAGGATCAGGTGCCGGAACTGGATCCGCAGGTGGAGCAGCAGGCAAGGAAGTTCGCTACGCCCCATTCCCAGTCGCATCACCAACGCACTCGATTCCCACAACCTCCCAGCAGATCGTTGGCAGCGTCGGTGGCGGGGGCGTCGGTGGTGCCAGCAGCCAATCGATTTCGGGCGGTGTACCAACTCATAGCCAGAGCAACACCACCGGCGCCCTGCAGCGGACACATTCCAGATCCATGTCCTCCATACCGCCGCCCGAGCCGTTCATGATAGCCCAGTCGAAGGCGGTGAACAGCCGCGTGTCCATCAACGTGGGCGGGGTGAGGCACGAGGTCCTGTGGAGGACGCTGGAGCGGCTGCCCCACACGCGGCTCGGGCGGCTGAGGGAGTGCACCACCCACGAGGCCATCGTGGAGCTGTGCGACGACTACTCGCTAGCGGACAACGAGTACTTCTTCGACAGACATCCGAAGAGCTTCAGCTCCATCCTGAACTTCTATCGCACCGGCAAGCTGCACATCGTCGACGAGATGTGCGTGCTAGCGTTTAGTGATGACCTGGAGTACTGGGGCGTCGACGAACTGTACCTGGAGTCCTGCTGCCAGCACAAGTACCACCAGCGCAAGGAGAACGTCCACGAAGAGATGCGGAAAGAGGCCGAGTCCTTGCGGCAGCGTGACGAGGAGGAGTTCGGCGAAGGTAAATGCGCCGAGTACCAGAAGTATCTCTGGGAGCTGCTGGAGAAGCCCAACACTAGTTTCGCCGCCCGGGTAAGTCCAGTCGGTTGCCCCGACGTTAAGGTATTCAATAATGTCCCAACTCCCACAACCCCAAAAGAATACCCGGTCAGAGAAAAAAGATATGGTACAACATAGTCATAAACTTTCAAGATTTCAAGTTCCAAACTTTGAATTATGTTAATTCGATTTTAAAATATAACATATCTTCAAGCATTTTTCAAGTTCCAAATTTAAATAAGTTTAAATAAGGTAATATGAATTTGATTGAAAATCTAAAAAAGTAACCTTTTTTCTCTGTGCCCTCCCGAATCCCTCCTACCAATACCCCAAAGATTCTCATAGATGTGTTCGTATTGTGTTTCTAACCGTTGAACTGTGAACCGTGTCAATGTCAAGCGTAAGAAACCCTTTTTCGTTTAATAATCAGCTCCCTAACCCCCCCTCCAAGTTATATTCAACTTTTTGAGTTCCTGATTTCCTCTTGAGTTAGTCTTATGTAGTTGAACTTTGGTTCTGTAAAGAGTCACTATTATTTTTACACTATCGCCAGCTCTTGCACTCTGTAAAATAACTCAGCCGTCGAGCAGATCAGAGTACTATATAGTGTAAGAATAACAGCAACATATCTATCTATACTCTCTCTATAAGTAAACCACTCTCAATGCTGTACAAATCTTGCCAATTCATCACTTGCTTTTGCGACTTAAACCGATATGAAATGCTTGCACTTCGAAAAGATATATTATCGATATATACTTAATCGTTACTCGTTACTGGTTACTCGCTACTCGTTTCGAATGTCCGCCAGTTATCTGTACCATATGATGTGATATCGCCTAACTACTACTACTACCATATATCCCGCTGCTTGGCGCGCAGATCCCCTGGGATCCACATCGGTGTTTGTATATATACGGCTGATCTCATGTGTAAATCCCATATCGAGTGCTTCCAGCTTATGTGTCATCTATCGTACAGATCGGACAGGACAGTCTTCCTCCATCGAACGGAACCTGGAAGTGCCCAGAGATCTGGAAAGAGTAACCTCCGATATAAGATGAAGAGTTAACGGCACCATTTGATTTTGAGTTTCCTTAAGTTCATCCTTTAATTTCTGCTTTCGCCTTACCAATCCCACAATCCCCCTTAGACTAAGATGCATTCTATGTTTTAGTTTGAGTTTTAGTTCTAGTTCGAGTCTTTAGCAAACGAAACACGCGACGACACCCAGAGAGTTCCAATTAGCTAAAAGATCAAGCCAGTACTGATCGAGCAATCGAAACTGCCAAAATTGTTTACTAATCGTTTCTCTAATCCAGTCTTTTTTACATCACACACAGTTTAATTGCGAAATTGACAAGCCCTGTATACATACAACTACTATATATAAACTATTTATATCTACTCTGAATATTATTAATACGTATATCTCTTAATTGTTGATGATGATGGTGAAGTAATCTCTCTCTGTTTATCTCTAATGTTCTCCCAACAAAAAATACCCCAAACACCCCACTGTAACCATGTTTGGGAATGGGCAATAAGCGATATGACCAGGCGGCAGGTGTGCTGTAGAAATCCTCGAAAATATTGTAACGAAAAAGGACTCTGGGGAGAAGTGGCCAAAACGGTGTTGTAATACATTTCCATTTTCCATGTGCTAGGGGGAAAATTCGATTAGGATCCAGATCAGATCAGAATATTTCGAAGGACTCAGGGTCCCTCATTCTGGCTGACCTTGTACCATATTTATATATCTAAGCTCTAAGGACCCGGGCACACAACCACACACATCTATAAATATCACACACTCACTCAAAACGACCTCAGTTTGGCTTTAGCTTGTATTATACAGCCGATAATTTGCCCCGATTTAATAACTTAGCTTTGGCTTTAACCAAGAATCTTGGTGGGAGAATGGAAATAATTACAACATATTTGGGTGCATCTCCTATAATTTTTCATTCGGTTTTGAGTTCACTTTTTATTTGAATTATGTACTTTTTATTTTCAAACTCATTTAGGGTTACAATTTATTATTTGTCTTTAGTTAATTACATATATGGAATGTGTTCTGAGAAATATCTGAAACCTTATTTGGATTTTCTTGAGGATATCATCATTCCATATAAGCTATTATTTCAACTTTCAACTTTTTAGTTAACATTTTAAGTTCTGTTTAAAAGGTAATGAAAAATTTCCAGAGCCCTTTGCCAGTTGTACTTTTTATCGTATTTTCATTTATGTTTTTTCTCCAACAACTAACTCGATTTTGCGTCAGAGAGAAAGAAGAAACTAACAAAGATTTTAAGTTCTGTATATTTTGAGTTTATTTTTAATACCACGCCTAAACACATCCTTTTTTCAACGAAATGATAAATATGAGAACCAACAAATCTAGCTCTGATCTAATAACCAAAGCAGTTAGAAAACTCAGTTGATATCTTCGCCTCGTTGAAAGCGACAAACAACTCAGCAAGAAACCAAAGCGCGCTCACAAGACAAACAAAATACAGAAAATACCCGAAAAATACTCCAAAAATATTCAAAAACGTTTATTTTATTTATTATATTATATAATCAATATATCTTTATACACTACAGAAACAACAATAACGAAAATGGAAAATTATGATATCCAAATTGTTGTTCAGTTGTTTGCCTTTTGTGTTGATCTTTTCCTTTCCATTGGCGATGATATATGTACATATCTCTATGTCGTATATAAACCCTCGTATTCTTTTCCTATATATTTGATGTCATGTTGTAATCTCGTGTGTATTGCATAAGGAAGAAATTTATTTAACTCTCGTTGTTATTGTGTTTTAACCTAATTCCTTTTGTAAACTATTGGACCTTTGATTACCTACAATATCCGACACTTGAACAGAAACACAAAACACCTACACACCAACAACACACACACACACACACATATACAAATTGATACTCTTGAAGAAACGTCTACGGTGCCTTCGAAGTCTTAGCCCCCTTCTGTATACAATAAATCAGCATTAAATCAGAGAACTATCTTCCATTTAAACCCCCAAAAGACTAATAATGTTAAATTCATCGTCTCTGTTTGGTTTTCAGTTTTAGTTTAGTCTTTTGATTTCGGTATACGAGACCCGTAACCAAACTATATATCGATCGAACAAAATCTCCTACTTGAAATATTAACCCACCAAATTTGCTGCATTTGAATGCCACTAGTATAGAATTTCGTAGTCGATTCGTACTGAATTCTATAGCCGTTTGTATCGAATTTTGTTTGTTTTTTAGTGAGTCGAACAAAGTATGCGAACCAACTCATGCACCCACCGAAAACCAACCACCCCCACTTCCCTCCACCCCTTCAAAGAGAAACCCCAAGCAAACCACCGAAAAACCAAAAAACCGAAAACCGAAACCACAAAACGTACAACCCGTAAAAAAACACTCCACGTGAACCAAATGCAAACCTGATCAAATATTTTAGCCGGAACTCAGTTCCCATTGACACACACAAACACACACACACACACACACGCACACCAAAAAACACACTTCGACACTGAGCAAAAACACTCAAAGTTTTAGCACTTCCCTATTTTGTATTCAAATTGAATGTGATTTTTAGTTTTGGTAATCATCTGACCTGAAGTTTACCCTTTTTGACCTAGATTTAGTTTTGTATGTACGGCGATTGCGATGAGTGCCCTATGTAAACCTTTGTAAATTTGTATATTTATCATATCTATATCTCTATATCTTTAAGACCAAACTCTTTTGCCCCGATTTTCTTGTCGCATGAATTGTTTTTTGACTGTTTTTTGTCCTTTTCTTTTTTGAACACCTCAGCTCATTACTTCTCTTTCACCTGGTCACCTTTACCTTTCTCCTCACTTTGCTTCCACCCTGAGATCTTGTTCTGTTATCCATCGACTTTTCATGACTTGTAATTCAAGTGGATTTCAGCCAGGTTCAGGGAAGTTAATTCAAATTTGTTCTCCTTTTCGATGCGATTGCAAAGGATTCGTTTTTCCGATAGAAAAATTTATAATTTACAAAAATTCCATAGGCCTAGAGGTTTTATAAGAAAAAATTATATTTTGACCCCTTTAAAGGTTAACCAAATTAACAGAAATAAATTCTCAAAGTCCCAAAACTTTGCAAAAGTATCCCAAAATGATCGGATTACCGACATTGAGCTTCCTATATCGCTTAAAGAGTTTTCATTTGTACATCTTGTGGCTCTGTTGTCAGCGGCTTAATAGACGGAATTTTGATTTTTGTAGGCCTAAAGCAGCAGAAACCGCTTTTGGCGACTCGCTACGCTTTGAAGTTTGTAGTTGTTGTGAGTTTAGTGCATTTTCAGTTGACTTTTGAGTTGATTTTCCCACCGGAGACTGTAATCGAGTAAGCCAGCTAGGAGTATTGCGATATCATGTTTAGTTTTCAACCCAGCGAACCCTATCCATACCCCCGATTACCCCCCCAAAACCACCTTCATGACTGAGCAGCAATGGTAGCAGTTCCAAAATCCAAAACAACAGTATGCCAAAGTGATAATTCGCACACAAATTTTTTGTTTACGAAACTTAACTCCAATGCATTCTGTTCAATCGAAAGCGAAATGAGAATCGAAAGTAAATTTGTTTGTAAAGCCTCACCACCATCTCAAGTAGATTGTTGAAACCTCGCCCCGCCCCGCCCCGACCCCGCCCGCTCTATCCCGAATCCAACCCAAAAACTATGGAAATTTAATTAACTTTCCCGAAGTTTGACAGTCCAAGACCAAGACCACTTCAATTCAAGAACATCTCCCCCCTATCTTGCTCTATGTAAATCTGTAAATCAAAACCCTCTAAGCCCCCTTCGCGTGCCCTCTAGCACTTGTATCTTATAGTATCTATATCTAGTATCTAGTATCTGTACTTTGACTTTATTCCACTCCTCCTTCTACTTCTCATCGTTGCTAACTAGCACCATCCAAATGTTTTCTCTCTCTTCAGTTACTGTTTGTGTTTATTCTTGAGTTTGTATATCCTTTAGTGCGTTTTGTTTATCCTTACGTAATGACTCCTTCTTGACTATGTATCTTTTGTCTAATAACTGCATAATCTGTATCTTTAACTTTTGTATCTATACGTAGCAAGCCATAAGCCATAAATAGAGAAGTCAGCTCATCCAACGAAGCAGAACTATGAAATTCAGCTTTCCCCCCTCTCCAAACCAAAAACCCAAAGCCTTATGTCCACTTTCCAAGATCCAAGATCCCGTTCCGAATCCGATTCCGAAACCAGAACTGCGTGGTTGCGTACAGTGGCCTACTATGGTAGATCTGGACACTCACAGAGTAATCTATGCATACCACTTTGGGGGCGTGGCATGTCCAAGATGTTCAACCTCTCTAAACCTCTCTCTCTATCTCTATCTCTATCTCTATATCTATCTCTGACCCCCTCTCGAATGTCAGTCACACGCACACCCAACATTCCACCCCACACCCACACATAATACCCCGATTCAGTTTCGGAATAAGATACGAAGCCATGCCATGCCACATTAGGTGTGGCAATGGCCACATCCATCTGGCATTGAAATCGCAATTGAAATTCTGCATTTCTGACAGGCCTCCTGTCCCCCGAGAACCCATTCTCTTCCCCCTTTCCGAACACTTCAATCTCTGCAATTGGCAGTTTTTGGTAAATTAAATGTATTATTTAGAGCCAACCAATTAAAATTGTTTAAGTGTGTTTGTGTTTACTGAACGGAATCCATCCAACTGGCTGGAAAATAAATGCATAATTTCACGGTGCCTCTGTGTAGACGTGACAGATGCAATTATTTGATGGCCTGCTTGGCGATTTCTAATTTGTAATTTCGAATTTCGAATTTGATTTCGTTTTGATTTGATTTGGAATCTTTATCTCGTAATTGTAATTCCTAGCTCGTTTGAACGTACGAAAGTTATGCATTTGGATTTGAATTAGATTTGGATTTCTTCCTTTTGTCATATTGCTAGAACTATCATAAATTTGAACAACTTCAGTTTCCAAACATTATTTTCCAAGAGAAAACAAGTCAGACCCAAAACAAATACACAAATACAGCGAAAGAGCGTAAGAATCGGTGATTTCTGAGGATAATATATATAAGGTTAGAGTATTATAATAATGTCGACTGCAGACCCCAAGGGTAGCGTCTCTTATTTAACGACGGAGTGCCCCCCCTGGTTCACCCTCATACCATAATATATAGAACCAATTAGACACACACACGTATAGCTGATATGTATGTAGGTGTGTTATGTCCTTGTGTTGCGTCATGTGATCTGTCCCCACAACAAAGAACTCACACACACACATACAGAGTAACCCAACAAGAACTATATATAAACACAGCCGAAAACTACAACCACAACCACAACCACACGCACACCACCCAGCCACTAGCCACCGAACCACACTTACCCACCAACAACCACTGAACCACTTACACCCACACCATCCAGAGAAAGAGTTGATCTAGACTAGAGACCCAGAAACTTCGAGACCTAGGATCAAAATAATAATACCCAATCCATGTTTTGCGTTTTTGTGTGTTTTCGTTTGTTGCCAACCTTTGATTTCACATTATGGTTTGTTTGATGAAGAAGGATTCACGACGAATGAATATATATACTTCACATATAGTACAGCAGCCTTTGAAAAGTACAAAATAAAAAAAGAAACCGAAACCGTTTAGGAAAGCCAACCAATGCCCCATCGAATGAAACGACACCCCTGCTCAAAAGAAAACGATTTAGTTACCACCAATTAACAGACCCCAGTTTCGACTAACAGTCCCCCAGAAAGATCCCAATTCGAGACCAGAACTCTAACGGAATGTTTACTTAACCCCAAAATAAAAACAAAAACAGATAGTTTGATACAGAATCAAAGTGAACTCTCGCTGAACTTTGCTGATTGTTGTAACCGTGTTTTTCGATTAATTAAAAACCAAACATTAGATGTGTATAAACGACAGACTTGATATTGAATGAACGTAACGTGTTATGTGCCTACCAAAAAAACAAAACAAAAGAAAAAAAACAAATATCAAATATGAAATATCTTAAAAATACCTATTATCGTTGTGATTTGATTGCATTGAAATTGAATCGTTGCTGAATCATGGTCTCGACAAAGTCTCGATTGTTCTTTACCGTTCGCAGGTTATCGCAGTGATATCCATACTATTCATAGTCCTGTCTACCATAGCCCTGACGTTGAACACCCTACCACAACTACAACACATTGACAACGGTACACCACAGGATAATCCGCAATTGGCAATGGTTGAGGCCGTGTGTATCACGTGGTTCACTCTAGAGTACATACTTAGGTTTAGCGCCTCGCCGGACAAGTGGAAGTTCTTTAAGGGCGGCCTTAACATAATCGATCTATTGGCAATACTCCCATACTTTGTTTCGTTATTTCTATTGGAAACGAATAAGAATGCAACGGACCAGTTCCAGGATGTGCGTCGGGTGGTGCAGGTCTTTCGCATCATGCGCATCCTGCGAATCCTTAAGCTGGCCCGTCACTCAACGGGCCTGCAGTCGTTAGGCTTTACGCTGCGTAACTCGTATAAGGAACTCGGTCTACTAATGCTGTTCCTGGCCATGGGCGTTCTCATATTTTCTTCGCTGGCATATTTTGCCGAAAAGGATGAAAAGGATACAAAATTCGTTTCAATACCGGAAACATTTTGGTGGGCGGGTATTACAATGACAACTGTTGGCTACGGGGACATCTATCCCACAACTGCACTGGGAAAGGTTATTGGTACTGTGTGTTGCATATGCGGTGTTCTGGTAATCGCTTTGCCTATTCCCATCATCGTTAACAATTTTGCTGAATTTTATAAGAATCAGATGCGACGCGAAAAGGCCCTCAAGCGTCGCGAGGCACTCGATCGTGCCAAGCGCGAGGGCAGCATTGTCTCCTTCCATCATATCAATCTGAAAGATGCCTTCGCCAAGTCCATGGATCTCATCGATGTGATTGTCGACACAGGTAAGATCTGTTTACGTTCACTATTTATAAGGAATGTGCCTTGCTTACGTATCAACTACTAAACTAGCCGACTAGAAGGGATCTGCTAACTCGATCCCCTCTCTCCGCCTCATGCTATGCTTACTAACCCACCTAACTATAGTGACTACACAGAAAAACATATGATATCGTAAAGCTAACTTAAGTTTAGTTTAAAGAACAGTTAAATGAACTTCTATCTGAACTTATTTAAGATCTTTTTTAAGATCAGATATAACTAATGCTGATCCTATGTTTTTTGTGTACATCCTTATATATCCCTGAAGTCCCCATCCTTTCTACTTTGCTTACTCTTGTGTAGTTTCGTGCGTTAGCTGTCTAAGTAATCATTTCGATATTTTTATACTTTTGGCATGAACTTTTGTTCCTGGCTTCTTCTCACTATCAGTTCAGATTGGTTAAACTTGTTTTACTTTACCAAGCTGTATCTAAAAATCCAGCCTAGAGGCGTGTAAATAGCAATCACAGAAGTCGGACGAGAGTCCTGCGACTGCTGAGCCGTAAGATGATAGAAATTGTTGAACCTTTGATTATTCCGAGCTCAGACTTACGTTCGATTGATCAATTGTAAACTAGTTAAGCGATTTGAGTTACTCTTAAGTTCCCTTAAGTAGCCCTTAGACCCACCAAAACCCCCCTAACAAGTACAGTACAAACACCCAAAGCGTCGTCACACAATAATGGTCAATTAGGCAAATGCTTTTGTACTTAGCGCATTAAACGGGAAATTAGTGGGGTTTTCACTTGTACAAAGCACACACACCCTCGAACCCCCGAAACCACCCAAATCGACACCTCTGCTGTATAAAAGCCCGCGCGCCTAGAAGTAGGCAATGGTATCTCACGGCCCTTTAAAGCCGCCAAAAGCCCCTCCTCTTTGACAATACCCTGCCAGCCCTAACCCTCTCAACCCTCCGACGTGTGTTTTATTTTAGGCAAGCAAACAAATGTCGTGCATCCGAAGGGTAAAAGACAAAGCACCCCCAATATAGGCAGGCAGACCCTCGATGTGCAAAGCGCCCCAGGTGACTACATTGCGTATACGTAGCCTAGCCCACTCTTTGCCACCCAACAACTCGTATTATGAAACTCTATTAAATGCCGTAGCCTTTGACAATCGCTTCCAATAATAGCCCCTAGACACACGGACACGAAACACAGATACACAAACACACACTCACACGCGCCAACTACAGCTAAACACTATTGTACTATATATGTATATATATTCGCACACTCTCTCTCTCTCTCTCCCTCCTTTTGGAGTTCTCTCTTTTTCTCTTAGTGTATTTTGGTATATATCTCATAAGTTATAGTAAAGATTCATAAAGCTTAGTACAGGGAGAGAAACCACACGGCTTTAGCTTTCTTATAGCTTCGGCTAAGTGGGAAATAGGTAGCAGCTGTGCAGGGAATGAGACGTTGATAAAATATAAGTCAAAATTAAGTAACTTAAAATAATATATATATTTTCGAATTATTATTAATTTTTAATCAAATATTTGACCCGCTTTCTTCAACTATAAAACTGATTATCCAACATTTTCTAAGAATTTATTTCCCATCTAATAAATTTTGTATTCCTCTTTGATTTTGATAGTAAAAGCTGTAGTTCAGGTTATAAAGTTTTAACCAAACTCATCATATAAAAGTATTTAAATATTTTCATCAATAATTAAGGACATTTTTTACTCATATCTAATTTTATTTAACATAAGTAGAGTTGTAAATTCATAGTAGCTACAAAACACAAATCTTTGACTTTTATCAAAGTTACCAAGTTTAAGGTATATTTCAAAATGTAATAACTAGAGTCATCATTATATGTAAAAAGCCTTAAATCTCGCCCCGCACAGCTGCAATCCACAGTACATATATAATATAATATATATAATGCCCCCCGAGTCGTCCTGTATATATAGCCAAGGATCTAGTGATTAGCTAGGCAATTGCTGTTGCAATTTGTTGCGTTGTTCGGTTTTAGTTTGCCTTCAGTTAAATTGAGTTTGCCTAATTGCTGACTTCAGTTGGACATTTGCCCAGAATTGTGAATTATGATGATGACATTTTGCTACTCATTGCTTGATTCTTGTTTTGATTCCGCCACAACCATAGCAAATTTGAATGCTCAACATAGAGTTACCATTTCGAACTTAATTACCAATTGTGAAAATTAAAAACTAAAAAATCAAACAAAATTATTATAAATACAATAAACATTTTTTAGAAAATTTTCAAGTGCTGATTACATACAATACAAAAAAGAACACAAACACTTACATGAAACCATATGATGTATATGCTCATTCTCTTAGCCAAATGTAGTTGTAATTTAGCGATTCGAAGTCGTTATGGGGCCTATGCCTAGAAATACTAGTCTCCAAATATCTACCTACAACGTGTTCTTTTCTCTGCTCTTCTTTTTCTACTTTCTGCTCACAACATCCTATGAATTTTCCAACCATTTCGATAAATCCAAACATCTTACACACACACACACAAACACACCACACATACGAATATTGAAAAATTGCCACAAATCTATACACTGAATAAAAAATAATAAACAAAAAACATACGTAATTAAATTATATGCGGCTGATTTTGACCTAGGCGAGAAAAACACGCTGATTGAGGCGCCGCCGCCGCCCTCCTTTGGCACGCCACGTCGCCGCGCTCTCTCCGCCAGAATCCAGGAGCTGAATCGCAGTTTGCTGGAGGAGCGGGATGCCCAACAGCAGAACAGCTCCAGTGACAACGAAGACAGCCGCTAGGAACACCTCTGGCGTACCGCTGCAACCACAGCAACAACAACCCGACCCAAAAACAACCTACAACCATCTACACTAAGCGAAATTAGCTAAGAGAATGACAGGCGATTGTTATTGTATATGTAAATTAGTCGAGAACAAATGCAATTTGTTATAACCACACCCACACAAACACACACCAACACGTACACGAATCAATCACACACACAAGAGTCCTAGACTTAAGCGAAAGTACTTCCAAAGAAAAACGAAAACGAAAAATGAATAACATGTGGTTAGCAGTTAGCCCAAATGCGTAGGCTTGCTTTGAAGCTTCGAATCAATCAGAAATCAAATGAATTGTGAACTTCCATTTTTGGTTTATTTTCCAATTGAATGTTGTGATTAAATGTAACTGCTTGTAGGCGCCCTCATACCCACAAACCCACACACACAAGCACACGCACACGAGACACTGCAACTCATTCAGACATGCTGTCACACACACACACACACACACGCTGCTACTGCTGATGAATACCCGTAATTATGCATTGCGCATACGCCACGTTGCCATAGTTAGTTTTTTCCTTTTTAGATGCAAAAAAGGCTAAAACAATTATATTTTCAAATCGAAAATATATTCTATTTCATGTATTGCATCTTTAGTTAGTTGTTATTCCTTCATTGCATCCAACTCTGAAGCAGTTTATTTTTTAGGTTCCAAAAGTAAATAATTTTATTTTACATTCCTATATTCCTATTAAGTTGTCTAAGAGCTGGATGCAGTAACAAAAGGCGTATGCTTCATCTTACTATCGTATATTGAAAGTTTTGCTAATGTCCATCAGCACTTGAAAATGAATCTAAAGAAATTTAAAGCCATGAACGAAATGAAGATCCGCTCAAATTTGCTGATGTTCTCCTCAGTTTTGTTGTAACTTATTTTGATAACCGATTGCCTGGCCAGTTGAACACTATATCCATTTGGTTCGAATTTGCGAATTCGCCTGCAAGCAAAACTTTCAAGTACCCAAATGTGATTTGCAGTAGTTGTGGGTGTGGCAGCATGTGTGCGAGCGAAATCTTCCAGGAATAACCAAATTCCCCATGTAACTCCCCCAAACCCAGAAATGAGAAATGCTAACACAACACGCCATTCGAGAGCCGAACTCTGAAAATACAATCCGCGTAAGCACAATTTTGATTTAGTCTAAATCTTAGCGATTAACTAGGCCTAACCTCTATGTAAACTCCAAGAAGGCATTTATCGAGCGCACTAGTCAAAATAATTCCCTCCATGGACATGAAAAAGCACTTCAAGTGTTCGCCATGAGGTAAAACCAAACCGATATCGAAATATATATATATCGAAATCGAAAAAAAAACCAAAACAACAAAAACAACAGAGCAAGCCTTATTTATGAAATTAGTTGTTGTAGCTGTGAGAGGGTAAGCTTAGTTTATAATTTAGAGAGCGCATCAGCGATATAGCGTGCATTAGGTATACCAATGAAATATACTCGTTCCGTATGTAGAGACAAGAGAACTTAGCAAACGATGGCGATACGTTCCTAAACAAGCAAAAACCACAACGTAAAACAAAAGAAATTGCCTTATTTAAAGCAAATTGCTCCTAGTTTGCAGCCATATATAAAAAACAAATTAAAGAAACTTAAATATAGAACAGGCCACACAACCGAAGCTGAAGTTTTGTTAAATTGTAAGCCCAACAAGATATATCGATATAAATAAGCGAGCTGAGCGGTTCGAAGTTCGAAGTTCGAACGAACTAAATTATATACAAATTATATACAGATTTTGAAACCCTTTTTTTGTGTGTGATATTTGAACGATTTTCTATGATTTGCCTTGAGTTCCGCATAGTTCAAACATTTCTATCATTGCGCTCAAAGAAGCTAGAGTCCTGAAAAAAATAATCGAAAAAGAACAAACGGACTGACATTCCAAACAAAAAAAAAGCCTTTACGTGCCTTTTACTTAATATTTTTCCATTTCCCCTTATTTTTCTTACTAATAACCTAATTATACATATATATGTGTGTGTGTCCTCGACCTTTCGTTTTCACATTATTAAAGCTTTCGTTCCGAAATTAAATCCAATCTAACGCGCTGCATGCTCTAATCCTATGAACTAATCTATAGAAACTGTGTACGCTCTCTTTATGCTCAAGCCATGTATGATCGAACAAGAACATATAGAATGAATATGATTACTCACTCGTACTCGTACTAACCCAAATGAATAACTGTGTACTGTACTCGTACTTTTGTGTACTACTGTTAAAGCCGTAAACAACTTTGTGTGTCTGTGAAATTAGCAATAAAACCAAAACCCAACTGCGCTGTATTATTTCATTGTACCAGCTAATCCAAACTTAACGCCAATCCATGACTGTCTAAGTATCAATATCCCCATATACTATATTCTATATATATATTTGGTGTTTAAAGCTTGACCAGTTTATGAGTTCAAGCCTTGAATGCAGGAGAGGCCAGAGTAAGGGGTATATTTTACTCGCAATTCATACAGACTCATCAGCAGGAGTTTTTCTCTGCCATTTCCACTCATTAACAATGATTTTTTTGTACTTCGGTCTAATTATACAAGATCACACACCTGAACATGAATGGCGAAAATGACCATGAATCGGAATTTTGTCTATTTGAGAATACTAACTAAGAGAAAAATGTTTCGCACATTTGTTTTGCCGCGTCCATTAAGAGCACTTGACACTTCCGACACTTACAAAAATCACAAATACTTTAAAATATAGGTAATATTTTTCAGAACCTATTTCATGTTCTTACTTGGAATATATCATGAAAAAAGCACAAATAAGTTTAATAAAGATTTTAAAAGAACTTAATTTCCAATCTCTACTTTCTTTAAAAACTTGTAAAATATTTAATCTTGATGTTTTCTTCAAGGATTCCTTTTCCATTTTCACTAAAATCATAAAATCTATTAAACTTTTACTTAGCCCAAACTTCTATGGGAAAAAAATATATTTATTAAATAACTTTTGAACTTAAAAGGTCAGACTTTCCTTTTCCATTTAATACATTCCGTTTTCAATATAAACTATTAGTTAACTTAGCTTGGTGACTACTAACCCTATGACTAAATATGTTTAACTAAACTATAAACTAGAGTTCTAATAGTGTTTATCAGCCATTAGCATCACTAGTTAACTAAGTGTTGTTCTAACCCATTTAATCACACTCAAGAGTAAGCCCGTTAACTTAAACCCGAACTATAGACGTCGTTCTTCAATGTTGTTTTCACTGTATCCCACTAAAACTGAACTAAACTGAACTCTAACTTAGCCCCCCAACGTTTTTGTGGTCGCCGTCGTCATCGTCGTCGTAACAATTATTAACAAAACTATAGCGAAAAATAAAAACATTCATGGAACTCATTTTTCTTTCTTTTTTCCCTCTTTTGATTTGAAACGAAAAACCAAACCGAAAATAAAACACCTTCATTTGCGCTCCGAACAAAACTCAAACCTAACTCATTCCAAACTATATATATAAATACATATATACGAAATATATAACCCTGTGTATATATCACCACTGGCGTCTGTCGGCTAAACAAATGCGAAACGAAACTGGCGACAAAATGCATTCATGGCTTCTTTGCGTGAAACCCCGAAAACCAAAACAAACAATCAAACCAAAACCGATCGTGAATCTGAACATTTATAACCTGATAATCCGATAACCCGATAACACGATAACATCCACCCACACTGTAATACCGTTACACCCACCACACCACCACACACAACACACACGAATGCCAAGCAGAAAAGCGCGAGAGCCACACACGATCACTCAAAAATTGGCACCGTTTAACCCACGCGCTCCGCCGATCGCCCACAGGCCACAATCTCTCGCAAACGGACGGCAACAGCACCGAAGGCGAGTCCACCAGCGGACGCAATCCGGCCACCACTGGCACCGGGTGCTACAAGAATTACGACCACGTAGCCAACCTGCGTAACTCCAACCTGCATAACGTAAGTCCTGTCGGAGGTATAAGAAAAGCGTAGCCTACTTATAAGGGCACACAATTTTGAAGAAAATATTATAGAAGTGGATTTCTTTATTTCTTGGGCTGGGATGTGCTTTAATTTACATCCATAATTTTAAGTTCAACTATATGGTTATTTTCATAGTATAACCAATGAAAGACATTTTACCACTTCTTAACTGAAATTCATTAAAATAATCATATTAAGTATACGTTTCCCTTGGTTCCCCATTCCGAAAAATTGCAATCGTGTGTTGTAAGTACGTCCCTCCATCAAAGTAGATGGACTTTGTGTGTGTTTTAAATCCTAATTAAGAAATATACTAACCTTTTACCCTTTTATTTGACCAGCGTCGCGGATCCAGCTCTGAGCAGGATGCAGTGCCGCCCTACAGCTTCGACAATCCGAATGCTCGGCAGACATCGATGATGGCCATGGAGAGCTATCGCCGCGAGCAACAGGCATTGCTGCTCCAGCAGCAACAGCAACAGCAGCAGCAAACGCAGCAGCAGATGTTGCAAATGCAACAGATTCAGCAAAAGGCCCCGAACGGAGGTGGATCCGGATCGGGAGTGGCCAATAACCTGGCCATGGTGGCTGCCTCCAGTGCGGCAACTGCTGTGGCCACCGCCACCAATGCCAGTAACAACAGTAATATCGCCCCCGGGTCAGCTGAGGGCGCCGAGGGTGGCGATGGGGCCGGGGTCGATGATGACAACCTGTCCCAGGCGAAGGGACTACCCATCCAGATGATGATCACGCCCGGGGTAAGTCTGCGAATTAAGGGGAGATACCTACTCATTGCCATACTCGCAATCGTATTTCTTGAATATCTTAATGTTTTCAAAGTTCCTAAATCGTAATCCTATGTATTAGTAAATGTGAAGCCGTTGAACTGGATCGAAATATATTCAAATAATTCCAATTATATCCCAATTATTACTCACGTTTGGTTCCTTCTCATTTGCCAACTGTTAGTCGGGTAAATTTGTGTTTAGAATTTTCAGTTCTTAACTACCACATACTTGTAATTTTGGTGTCCTTTGGTTGAGTATCCCTTGGTTTCCCACATTGGCGGCCTCTTTTTGTAGTCCTTAGTAACCCTAGTCTGTTTAGCTTCATGTTCTATCTTGAGTTCATTCAAAACAAATTCCAATCACCACAAAAATAAAATCAGAATAAAAAATAAGAGAAAAAGATTAAAAAAAAAATACTTAAGACTCCCGAGAACAAAACCAAGTTCTTTAACAACATTCACACATTTCAACTTTTAGATTTTACGGGGACGCAGTAAGGAGGTACATTCAAAGTATACACAAAGAACTCAACCTACTCTAATACTCTACTCTACTCAACTCGAATGCATTTGTGCCACAGCTATATATATATATATATCTTTAATACGTATTCGATTTTTACCAACTGATTAATTTTGAATGGATTTGCGGATTGATTGTCTTCTTTTCAGTGGCTGAACCAATGCTACAAATATTTTCTTTTTTTTTCGGGCGAACGTGCAATTGCATTTATGGATTTGCCATATCTACATGAATGCCTATCTGATCGAATGCCCATTAAAAACTGCATAGAAACGATGATTTTTAACCATGTTATTTTTGAATATTTTCCAATACTTCGATACTTAGCTTAACTCTGTTTTACGACATTTTGCTTTCGGTATTAGTTGGTTCGTTATAGGTGCTGGTTTACATAACGAATGACCAGGAATGGATTTCATTTCTATATTCCACATTGGAATTTTCTGTCAGACAATGATAATGATTTAAGTTGAACAATTTACGACTTAAAACTATTTTAGTTCTCGCTGCCGCCTTGGAAGAACTATTTTATGTGTACATTGTAGATACAACTTTTTTTTGTAAATGATTTTGCTTTAAAAAATAGTTTTAGACCTATTAATTCTGATTCTGCCCTTAACATTTTCTCAGTCTGTAAGCCAATAATTTTGCTCTGCTAACTTCATACCTTTTACTGAGAAATATAAGTCATCCACATTTTATATAATTTTTATTTCAAAGTTTTATCAGAAGAATGCCCTTTATTTTGTATATTTTATAAATTTTTATCAGAAGTTATGTTTCCTATGCCATACACTGACATTTCTTCACAAACAATGACACATTTACAACATTTTTAGAGAATATTTATCACTTTTAACTAGAAATTAGAAGACATATTTTTATATAAACAAGTTTATAGAGAATACCATTTAAACAGATTTTCACATTCTTGCAGAGAACAAATAACCTTCATTCATTATAACTGCTTACAAAGCTACAAAAGTGGGTCTAAAAGTAACCTGAACACAGCGATTCTTTTTTAAAACAAATATATAATTTTTGGAAAGAGATAATGCTGAAAGATAACTTTTACAAAATATAGAAAACATAATTCATAAGCACAAGTATTCAGATGTAAATACATCGTTGAAGCTAAGTGTAATCCAAGTTGGCATAGCGGTTCACCCTTGGCGGGCTGATTAAATCGGTGGGACCTGCTCCATTCGTAGGGTTGATAGGACCCGGACCCTGAGATGGGAGCTGTCCTTGGCTTTGACCTTGTCCCAATTGTTGTCCCAACTGTTGCCCTAACTGTTGCCCCAGCTGTTGTTGTTGTTGCATAAGCAACTGTTGCTGTTTACTAACCGATTCCGGGAGACTGGAAGCAATTGAAGGAACGGCTGTGGGGCGATCATACTGCTGTAGAGGCTGCTTCAGCTTGTCCAGAAGTGCATGAAGATCCACTGTGAGTTTCGGCTGGACAATGCCCTCCGCTGCCTGAAGACCCACCATTTGCGAGGAGAGGGCATCCACATCCTGGCGAGCGGCGAACAAAAGCTGATCATGGGCCGCCAGCTGGAGCTGGGCGATCTGAGCTCGAATCGCCGATGCGGCTACTTCCTGCTGGGCGGTGTGCAAGGAGGCGGTGATGCTACGCACATGGTTGGCCGACTCCTCCAGCTGGGCCTGCGCTGAGGAGGCCACCGACTGCGCCTTTCGAATCTCGGTGGCCTCTAGTTGGACCCTCGCCTGCGCTACATACAAATGCTGGACAAGATTTCGCAGATCCTGTCGCCTCTGTTCAGTTTCATCCTGCTCGGAATATGCATTTGGTGTTCCCTGACTGATCGTGTCTAAAGCACACGTCTGCTGCTGCGCCTGTAGATCCATCTGCTGAGGGTGCATCTGCTGCCAGTTGGGTTGGTAAAGGTCGGAAATAGACGGTCCTGCGGCAGCTGGAGCTAGAATCTGAGTACCAGGATTGGGAACCATTTGGCAGGTGTTCATCACATCTTGATCCGAAGCCGGAATGCCCGTGCCAGAAGCTGTGGATATAAATGATGTACATAAATTCATTGGAACTTCTCTAATGGACTACGTTTTAAAGTTTACCCACCAATTGGCTCAGGTTCCAGCTGTCCCTCAGAACTAGACCTCTCGATTCTCCGCCCTACAACAGTATTAAAGCACGTATTCCCCTCGTAATTGCCACCCCGGAAGGACTCGATCCTTTTGCGATTTTTCATACCGCTTGGATGACCTTGTATGCCGATTGCGCAGATAATAATACACAGTTGAACTACAGCAACACCATAAGGTTCAGTAACTATTGGTTTTTCCAACAACATTCCAACTCACCGATCCAATGGAGATTGCTTAGGCGCATTTAGAGCACATTTAGACCAATATGAGTTTGGTTCTGCGGCAGCAACCATTGAGCTGGATACTCTATTCTCGGCAATATCTCTTTCACCCGTTTTTTTTTTTAGTTTTCACCCGAAATAAATCAAGGCGAATGTGACTTTTAAACTTACACTTACTGGGTTTACGTTTGCTTACATGAAGTTCACCTAAGGCAGCTGATCATTAGGATTAGGTTAACTTAAAAAACATCATCGTAATAGATCATAACACTTGTGCCCTGAAAAATAGGATTACCAAACACCTTTAGACCAAAAACATCAAAACATGAAGGGAACACCAACACCCTCACACAGCTTGAGCCGCATGCCTACAGGACTATTTTTCTTGCTAACCTTATTCCAAAGAACCTAACTACTTCTAATCCCGAGAGTTACTCTGCATGCCTGCCAGCATGACCTGCATCCGGTGATTCCACTGTACATAAGCCTAGATTTATATATATATATTTCTATTCCGATTGTTAACGATCGATGCGAAACGTAACGAAACACTCACGTGATGCCACTATCCCAACACCCAACTATTTATAGGAAGTGGCCGAGCTGCGTCGTCAGGTGGCTCTGGAGAACCTGCAGAACCAGCGGATGGACAACCTGGAGCAGGACGTGCCTGTGGAATTCGAGTGCTGTTTCTGCACAACCAAGGTAACCGGGGGATAGGATCCAGCAGGATCCATCCCCAACCCCGTAGCTGTGACCACTCGATGTTCCCGTTTGCAATGTTCGAGCCGCTTTTCCATGTAATGTGCTAAGTGTTAGTCGCATGCCTGCACCCCTATTATCCTTATCATTGTTCTTTGTTTCCGTTTCCGTTACCGACTAATCTCAACTTAATACGAACTAAAATCATGCTAAACCTGTACATATTGCCGCCTAACCGCCATTGGCAGACTGTGAAATTGTTAATCCCAGCATATTGAACTCCGATCCAGACGAGACTTTTGATTCAGGGGTGTCACAGAAATCTACACAAATATTATCCTCTAGATAAGATAATTTAATCCTTTTTAAAATCAGTTTAAATAGTTCAAAGATTTCTGTGATATTTCCTATTAAAAAGCAGTAGAGACTTGAGCTTCTTGCATAGGTCCTCCTAAACAATAGGCGACCCCGTACTCGACCCGAAGTAGTTGGATTGGTAGAGCAGCGATTACGATTTCGATACCGAAACCAAACGAACGTTGTTGCAGGATCGCATTTGTGTTTTCCACGATAAGGAGTATAGCATCAAGCGGCTGGCCCGACCGCCGCCCTCGCCCAAGAACTATATGGCCCTCAAGCGGATGCTCGAGGAGGGAACCATCGACATATACTATCTATAAGTCGGGCAACCGGGCACCCAGATGGTAACACCAAGCAAATACCAAAAAAAAAAACCAAGTGTTGTCCCACTTTTGAGATCGTTTTGTTTTCACTTTTGATTTGTTATCATTTTGTTTGGCTTCCTGTGCGATTGGAATTGGAATTGGATTGGAAATGGAAATTTTATGTTGACCTTGTTTCTTTTTCGTTTCTTTTCTTAAAGGGTTTGCCGGGATGTCATGGCGAGTGTATTCCATTGCGCGCGAATAGCGTTTAGCCAGATTCTCAAGACCCCGGCGAGTTCGATATAGAAATCGGATATACTTACATATATATTATATATAGTATATAGTGTGTGCCGGGCGCATCGAATGCGTGACCGGAACAGCGAATTGCGATTAGACATTAACTAGCTTTAAACTACCAACAAATTACTACTTAATGTTATTATTACTGCTACGATTATTGTTACACTGTTATCAACGGGCCTGGCGTGACGTGACGTGAAAGCTAAAGAAAGACATAGCGAATTCTAAGAATTTAATTAAATTAACTAAAGCCTAATCTAGCATCTACCATCTAAAACGCAACCAGGAGAGGAGAGCAAAGCAAAGCAAAGCAGCATGTGTTATTATTTAATTTAATTTAATTTAATATAATTTCAAATGTGTACCAAGTGACCAGAGCTTGAGGGCTTGACGAAAGTTTAAATCGATTCTTTTTATTTACACTAAGCACGTAATTACAACTAGCCTAATACCTATTTATATACCCTAGCAAAATGGCCTAAGCCTTAAGTATAGTAGCTGCAACTTGCAAAAACGCCAAAAAAAAAACAAAACATAAAAACCGAAAACAACGAATATATAATTATGAAAAACAAAACAAAAATACAATTATTTAGTTACTTGAAGAACCAATGTTAACGCTCTCTTCATTATTAGTTGTTTATTTCCTGTTATCACTCATCCAAAAGCAAAACAAAGAAACCACAAATCGAATGAACAAATTCTGCAAATAAAATTACAAAACAAAACAAAACAAACGAATCTATTTTTGTTGGTCAACTTTCCTATTCGCACTCGACTTTCTGGCACTTCACTTCTTCTACTGATTGTTTCCGTATTGCTAGCCTAGAATTTTTGATTTTTGATTTCGGTATATTGAATTCGATTAGAGTACTTAACTATTTTTAACGATCGAGTAATGGAATCACTGCGAAGCTCCACTTAGCGGCTTGGTAAGTAAGACGTCCTTACGTCTGAATATTGAAAAATTAACCTCAAGGCGTTTACTCAACTTGCAGATCTGTCAGTGGATATCTTAAAATAATGCTTAAGAATATTATTACTATAAAAACTATGTTAATTTAATAAATATTTTATACTTATCTTATACTCATAGCAATTATTTCATTCTTGCCTCAAGTAACAAGTTGAGAACTCGCACTGTCTTCGTTTTATTTTCTTAATATGACTAAATGTTAACAATAAATAGCGCTGCACGTTTGAGTTTTACTTGGCGCCTCCTAGTTGCATGTTACGTTTTTGTTAATCAAGCGAAATAATAAAGAAACAAATCGCACACAAATGAAAAGCTAACTCCAGACAACAGGTACACCAAACTAAATCAGACACTAACAAGCAGCCAGAAAAAATCCCTAAAACACGCAAAAAATTATGAGAAGATGGTCCAAGTGATCTTACTTCATGTAAAGATAAATCCGATGTGGTCTTCCCAAACCGATACATTTTTAATTCTATAATGTCTATAAGTATTAGCATCATATTATATATCCTTTAAAAGGTTATCTACCATATCGGCTTTATCTTTTACCTTTCACCTGATTTTTAGTGACCATATCTGAAACTGCATCCCCTTTCCCGAACCCAACTCGTTGCAGGACTTCAAGGAGTACACGGATGCAGAGGGTGTGATCTCACTGCCCACTTCCGACTTCCACAAGCCGATCTGCCTGGAGATGCGACTGGCGGCGGCCAATCGCCAAGCGGGAGCCTTTGGTCTCCTGTCCCCGCTGCAGCCACCTCCGCCAGCCCTTCAGGGTCCGCTTCTGGCCCTGCCCCCGCCGCCACCATTGCCACCAACGTCCTGCTCCGCCGTCCTTCTACCCGCAATCTCGCAGTCCTCGTCCACATCTTCGTCATATGGCACCACCACATCCACCACCATCGCTTTGCCCCTCGATGTGTCCATGCGATACGGGCCCACCATTTGCAGTTCGTCGAACTTCAACCACAACTACAACAACAACTTCAACACCACCACAGTGGGTGGTGGGGCAAATGGAACACTGTTGTTTGGCGGCAACTACAATGGGAGCAACAACAACAATGCCGATCTGGCCAGCGTGGATAGTTCGGATACCTATGCCAGCTGCCAGACCCATCCATTTCTCTCTCAAGGAGATCTTACGGCCGACTTCAATGACGAGGCCTGTGCCCTGGACATCGATATGGATAACCTGTACATAAATCCCCTGGAAAGGGAACAGCATCAGGGGATCAGCAGCTCCACGGGCTTCATTGTGGGCCTGCCAAGTACCAATTCTTCGGGTGCACTACGAGCCCAAGTGAAGAAGAGCGCCTCGGGGGATACGGCTCTGAGGAATCTCGCTGCCGGAGGTGGAGGAGCTGGTGGCATAAGTCCTCTAGACGATGTCTACCAGAGCTTCGATGTCCAGGAGCGCGGCAGTCGGGTCAGCTTGAACGAGAACTCAGTGCCAAAGCATCGAAAGACGCGGTTCCAGCAAAGCTTCACCGCCATGCGACCAAGTGGCGCCGCCGGCGTCCTCGGGGGCAGTGTCCTGGGGGGCATTCGGCCACGAGCTCGCTTCGAAGACACCAAGCTGGATGACGAAACGGGTGGACGGCCGGAGAGCGGATTGAGTGGATCTGGCAGCCCGGGGGCCAGCGGATCCAGCGGATTCGGCGGTCAAGGACCCAAAAAGAAGCGCTCGGTTTTCATGCCGGGCAAGAGCTTAGCCACTGCCACCAAACTGATCAACCAGCATTTGTTTGGCATACAGAATGTGGGCGCCAAAGGTGAGCTAAAGCTGGATTCAAAATGTAACCATAAATACGATACATTTATTCCTTATATTTACATTTCAAATCCTTACTAATGACCTACTTATCTCATCTCGACCCACAGCCAAGTTCGAGAGCAAGCATTCCTCATCGATAGACTCGATTGACGCCTCGCCCAATCTGGAGCACCACCGGCGCTCCAAGTCGATCCTGAAAAACAAGTCTGATATCTCACGCGTCCTGTCCGATCCGGAGAGCGAGCGTCTTCTGGCGGACAACATGTCCGGCTCCGGCGTCTCCGACAACGGCACCGTAATGGTTCGTTGTCTTCGCTAGACATTTGATAATTGGAAATAATAACTATAGTTTTTACAGGGCGAATCCGGCAGCGATTACTCACCGAATAAATTACCTCATTCAGTTTTAGCTAAGTCTATATCCCCACCACCCCTCAGGCACCGCACCCTAATGCACCAGCGCTCAGGACCAGCGACCTTGCAATCGAAGCCCACAAAGTTCCAGACGCCTCGTTATCCCGAGGAGCAGGCGCTGCGCCAGGTGAAGCCACTCCTCTCGCGAGGAGCTCCTTCCACATCAGTGTCCGCCTCCGCAGGATCAGCGGATGGCCAGCAGACCAGGGACAGCAGTCTGGGTAAGTGGTGGTTGAACTAGGTAACCTGCTGGCAGCGATAGGAGGTCTTTGGAGGTTACTTTTGTTTGAGTAAAGCCAGTAGGAAACTGATAACTGATGATTGCCAAGACTTACCATTACTGCCAGAAGGTTGCTGTTCCCTCTTTCTCTCTTTCCCTTTTTCTTTCTCTCTCTGTCTCATCCTGTAAGTGCGTCCTAGGGTTTCTTTCGGCCTTGACGAAACCAGAAATCATCTACAACCGTATTTTTATCTCTCCCGTTTCCCTCCGCTTGCTGGCTGGCTGTCAGTCACCGTCTTCGATGCCGCCTTCTGAATCCCCGAACTACACCCATCGCCATCCACATCTGCATGACCCCATGAACCCACAGATACAGACACTGACACATTGACACCCCACGGAGAGCGGAGGCCGTCGGGCGGGCGACCTGTTAGTATTCCAGATCCGATCCATAGTGCTCACCATTAGCGATCCGTATCGATCGCTCCCGTGCTGCACCAAACTCACCCGTTTGAATGTCCAGATTTCGTTTAGCACATAGCTGGGATTATCATCCGAGCGCCAGATCGATGTTATCAGCTTTAGAAATTGAGCTCACACACCCATCACACACCATACACACACCCCTCACACAGAATCACACACATGCGGCTTTATGTTCAGCACTTCCGATAAGTCTAATCCATTTTATGATGGGTGAGGACTTAATATAATATTTATAGTCAAGATAAGTTCATCTACTCCTCATAAAATGGATTAGGAATCGTTCTCACTTATCCTGTGTAATCGGTTGTGATGATATATCCTTATAGCCAAGTTACTAACCCTACTCCTCTTGCCACACAGATTCGGAGACGACCTTCACATCGCCCGTGAGCACTCGAGCTGGTGAGGATCCACCGACTGCAGCCCCCAGCCAAGTGCCAGTAGGTTCTGGTCAGGACGATCGAGAAGAGGAGGGCGAGGCAGAGGCCAATGACGAGCAGAGGGCTCTTCTCCAAGGACCCGACGCCGAGGAGGCGAAGAGGACAGGGAACGAGGGCACGTAGCAATTAGGGACCCACACACAAACAGACACCCAGAAAATGTAAAAAAAAAATATAAGAAAACCTATTCCAAGGGAAAACCCCACACAATACACAAACACACATACACTCACAGAAAGCATACAAAGGGAAAACTCAAAGTGATAGCAAAGTTAGCAAACATGGAATGTGAATTATATAAAAGCAATGAACAGTATCCTAGTGTAGAGATGGTGGGACGGTCCCTGGCAGGTCCCCGAAATTCGATCTGTGTATTTTTACAAAATAGAGAGAAAATATGGAAAAATGGAAAAATGGAAAACAAATGTGGTAGAGCCAACCGAACTGCAATGGAAATGTTGCGGAGCCGCGCAAGTCGTACAAAACAGCATAACATAAATATTATTAATAATAATAATTATTATTATTAATATGATACTCTAAACGTAATGCTACAGTGTAAATAGCAGAGCCCAATCCACTCGTGTACAGAGCAACCTTTATTTACCGCCTTCAGGACACTAACAGCTAACAGAAAATATATAGAAGAAATCACCAGAAAAGCCTAAATAGCAACAAATGAAACGGAAATATTCATATTTTGAATGCAACTTATAAATATATACAATATATAGAATATACACGCATCGCAATTGCAGCTCGCATATTTACACATTATATATATACAAAACTAAGCGATACATATATAGCTCGAACTATTTTTCAAAACCGCGCTCGAAAACCCCGCAGATCGGAGGCTTTTGGAGAAGTTATAGACGCATGGCCATGCATATATCTGTATGTATATCGTTCGTTCGCGTATCGTTCAAATTCATAATCGAAGTCGAAAAGTAGTTGAAAATCGTTGGGAAACCAGTTCGTTTCTATATCTATAAGTACATGTGCGTGTGTGTAGGGCTTAGGGCTTATCGATAGAGCTTGGCTTGGCTTAATCCCCCGATATAATCTGATTTGCCACTTACTATATAGTAGAGATTGCAGTTGGTTGGGTAAATGCAATATATATATATATGTATATTGATCGGATGTAGATGTTGTTATTGATTATGCGGCTAGGACAATGCCTTTCGAGATTACTAAATGTTGTCAGTGAAATCTCTAGAGATTCGTATGGCAAAGCCCTAGAGATTTCAGTGTTTAACAGATCTTAGAATTGCATTGCTTCTGCCCATATACTGTTAGTTAGTTATGAAGCGTGTGTATGTGTGTTATGTACGTTAGTTAGTTCAGTTAGTTAGATCTACCCTAGGCAGTTGACTCGATGTTTAGTTCCCTAGTTCTCCGTTCTCCGAATACGTAAGCAATAAAATTGAAAATCTTCGCCTAGGGGATTTTCCTCTGATATCGAGGAGCGTGTTTTTAGTCAATTATTGCAACCCAAGTTGTTTGTCCACATTCCATTCTGTGTATGCGTGCGAGAGTGTTTTGGTTTCTAAGTGTTATAGTATACCGATATCGAAGGTTTCCATAGCCTCGGTTCCATCGGTTGTCCCAATCGATCTGTCCAACTGGCTTGGGTTTTGTCCTGTTTAGTTGCCTCTGCTCGGCCAGCGATGAGCCAGGATGCGAGTTAGCCTCTTAGAAACATATCAGTAAAGGGAATACGAACTCACTCACTCACTCACACAGTCAACACCTCTCACAGATACACACAACCACACGACCACACGCCCACACCCACAAGCATCACACTGTAAGAAAAACACACAAATTTTATTACGAGACGATAATAAAATGTCTCATCGTCCGCTTTTCGAATTGATAAGAACACAAGCATTGACACAAACAGAACTAAACCAAAAAACAAAAAGAAGGAAAAACACAGCAAAACACTATTCGATAACTAATGTTAAAGCCAAGAACTCGAAGTAATATAGTTAAACATTTTTAGAAATATGTGTACGTATTAACAAATGCTTGAGGCATCCAAAAATTTTGTAAGCAATTCATTTAGGATTATCTACACGGTTTTTTGGTGAGCACCGGCCACATTCCGCCACTGCATAATTTTAATAGTAACTTTTGTAAATATTTATTTCATATACAAGCCCCCTAAATCCAGTTTCAGTTTATATAATATTGTTATTATTTTTTTCAAAAACATTTACGCCAGCAGCAAACGAATTGAACTTGAAATAAAAATAAATGAGATATATTAAGTAAATGACGGGCAGAGCAAATACACGTGCAAAAGCAAGATGTTATTAATATTTAAATTATTTACCTAACGATACATACATTTTAATGTAGTCTGATGACGACGACGATTGTAAATCAGCTAAATTGAAAACCAGAGCGTATTAAAGCGTATTTAAATCTATATGAGCGAAAAGTCATGAAAATATATAAATCATTGAGTAACATTCTTTCTAGTCTATATTAATTGAGGTGGGTAATCAAGGTTGTCGACGATATACGAAGTAGGCATTATCAATGAGCTTTTTCTAAATTAAAATGAAAAGATATTACATTAAGAATGACTAAAAACGACTTAGCTGATACTTACATTTTCCTCAGACAACGGTGGATCCAAATATGTATGGAATTGAAGGGGATTCTGCTTGCTAGGATCCCGAATAGACTTTATCATTCTGAACAGATTTGCTATGGAGCCATGAGGCCGTTGTCCATGATTAATGTAGTAGCAGTATAGAAATTCCAATTTTTTACAGTTCTGTATGATTTCTATGATTTCAGCAGGTGATATGTGGCTGAATATACTCTCGACATATAGAGATCGAAGTTCGGTCAATTTGGCCAAAGGTGCTAGGCAATTGGATCCACCAATGTTCAAGGAAAGTTTCGTCAGAGAGCTTATTTGCGATATTAATTCGTAATCAGATCGGAGTTTGAGACAGGTTCCACGGATCCAGAGCTGTTGTAATCTGGGAAAACATTTCAAAATAGTTCGAACACAATTAGTGCACTTGGCGAATCCTGAAAGTCTTAGTTCCCTCAAATCGGGAATAAGTTGAAAGAACTCCTCAAGATAACAAATACAAGACGGCACATTCAAACTTAAATAGTCCGCAGCTGAAAATGAATCTGATTGAGTAATCATATTTATAGGAATTTTTAGCACTTACTATGAGAAGAAAATCGAAACATATCTTCGAGCTTTGGTTTTTCTCCCAGGCAATGTCTAAAATCGATTTTGTTTTTCGTTTTGGTAATAATTCGGTAATCCTTCACCATGTTTCCCAGATGCTCTTCATCAGGACTATGGCCTTGGATAATCCCGAGTGTCTTCACATTATTATCCACAATTGTAAAGAGTTTAATGGCAGCCTTTGAGTAATATAATACTGATTTACTCCCTTCGGGATCGTTCCCATGGAATACTGGATAAGGCGCAGGCGACCAGTCCAACAAAAGCTGTTGAATCCTCGTGAAGCTCTCCGCAAGATTCAATAGATCCTTGAGTCCTAGATACTTCAATATGTGCCGCAGGCAGTCGTCATTCAGGTGTAAAATACTTAAGCTAGCCATTTTTACTTTCTTTCCAACTAACTGGTTCGACTTAAACTGAAAAATATTCCGTGAGCCAGAGTAATAAATAGGCAGTTTGTTGATTTCTCAACTATCTGCGATGCTGATAGCTGGAGGACGCTATCAGAATTTGTTGAATGCTAGATTTATCTTAAGTTTATAATCAATCCGACATATCAGCTAATAAGAGCGTCTTATCTTAATACTTGACATCAATAATACTTGCAAATTTGGAGCGGTTTTCTTATCATACCTTTCTGAAGATAAAGATGCGATAACAATGATCCTTTGGGCATTAATCTGCATATTTCAGATACCAGTTTAAAGTTTACAAAAAGGGAAATTCCCTTTTACATGTTCTCGACTTATCCAAATGTACTTATCTTTCTACGTGTATATTTTACAGCACCTTAGTCTGTTTCACCACCAAAATCAGTAAAAAGTAAAAATGCTGTGGTGGAAAACTTGTCTTGTCAAAAGAAAAATAAACTTAATATCAAAAGTTCATTAAGCTTTCACAGGATATGTTAACGTCTGAGCTTGGTGTGGATCTAATTATTGGTCGGACTAATTAACCACAGGACTTGTCGGGAATCACATCACTCACCCCTTTTTTCCTGCCAGCACAAAGTATTTCAATTATTAAGCGAAACTTTTCCCACGTAATGGGGCGTGGTTTCTAGCCTCTGCAACTGAACCATTTAATTAAAGCCAGTCCTAGAGCCACGCCTCCCTGTTAGTCCCTATAAATGACCGATTAACACAATTAGTCCCCAATTAGGCGACATGTACTCACCGGAAGAGGAGGTCGAGCTGAAAAGGCGCAACTATCACAGCATCAGGGAGATGATCCGCCTCTCTTACACGGTGGGCTTTAACCTGATGGATCCTTCTCGTTGCGGACAGATTCTCAGAATGTGGGTATTTATTAAGCTGGAGTGACGACTTTATAAATGTAATATATAACTTTGTTAGCTGGACTATTGTCCTCAGCCTGAGTAGCTTGGCCTCGCTCTACGGCCACTGGCAAATGTTTCTCAGGTACATTCAGGACATACCACGCATTGTCGAGGTGGGTCATTGAAGTCCATACATTAGAATATTAAATCTAAGTATATATTTTAGACCGTTAGTACAGCCCTGCAGTTCCTCACCTCGATAGCAAAGATGTGGTATTTCCTCTTTGCCCATCAGGAGATATATGACCTATTGCGAAGAGCACGATGTCATGAGTTGCTCCAAAAGTGCGAGCTCTTCGCAAGGATGTCAGGTGAGTTCCTGTGGGTTGAATTTACACACTAAGGGTTCTACTTCCATAGATCTACTTGTAACAAAGACGCTTCGCAGGCAGGTGGAGTCCACCATGGATCGGTACTGGGCCAGCACTCGTCGGCAACTTATCATCTATTTGTATTGCTGCATTTGCCTAACTTCGAACTACTTTATCAGCTCCTTTGCCAGCAACCTCTATCGATACTTCACCCGTCCCAAGGGATCCTATGACATTGTGCTACGTAAGTATAACAAAGAAATGTAAAGAAATTATTATTATTTAACTTCAACTTTAGCTCTACCATCGCTCTATCCTGCTTGGGCGGACAAGGGCTTAACTTTTCCCTACTACTATATACAAATGTACCTGGAAACCTGCTCTCTATATATCTGCGGCATGTGTACGTTTATTATTTTACTGTAATTTAAGCTTTTTATTAACTTATTTTCCAATTTAGGCGCCGTTAGCTTCGATGGAGTGTTTATTGTCTTGTGTCTTCATACCATTGGCCTAATGAAGTCCCTCAATAAAATGGTAGAACATTCTACATCCGAGTTGGTTCCTCCGAAACGTAGGGTTGAGTATTTGCTATGCTGCATCTATCAGTACCAAAGAGTGGCGGAGTGAGTATTCAAAAGGCTATAAGCTCGGAAAAATCCAAATTTAAGTGCTTTTAAACTGTATTACGGTCATTGATAGATGAACATACTTAAGATAGAGTACAACTAAGATTGGTTTTTTTAAGCTTTGCAGCTGAGGTCAACGACTGCTTCCGGCACATCACTTTTTCGCAGTTCCTGCTCAGCCTTTTTGGCTGGGGCCTGGCCTTGTTCCAAATGAGCGTGGGATTTGTAAGGCTTTGCTACCCCAGAATCCTCCAAAGAGTTGCACTGAATAGCGCATTCACATCCGCTTTTGCAGGGCAGCAACAGCAGCATCACCATGATCCGGATGACCATGTACCTGGTTGCATCTGGCTACCAGATAGTTGTGTACTGCTACAATGGCCAGCGATTCACGACGGCTGTGGGTGACGTAACGGGGGAATCCCCCATACAGGCACTGATTGATGTCTAATTGCGTGACTAATCTCCCTCCACAGAGCGAGCAGATTGGCAAGGCATTCTACGAGGTTCAATGGTACGGGGAGTCACGGGAGTTCCGCCACCTCATCCACATGATGCTGATGCGCACGAACCGAAGCTTTAGGCTGGACGTGTCCTGGTTCATGCAAATGTCCCTGCCCACGCTGATGGCGGTGAGTAGAGTTCTGAATGGCCAGCCACTGTCCCCCTCGTCGTTCAGCCCCTTTCCACTTCCACTTGATTGATTCGCAGATGGTCCGGACAAGCGGGCAGTACTTCCTGCTTCTGCAAAATGTCAACCAGAAATAGGGCTCAAAGTTGAATAAAATGACTGTGCGCGCAGTGGCAAAAATTGGTATTTTTAATAACCGAATAGCTGCTAGATTTGGACAAATCAAAATAGAGTTTCGGAATATCACAAAAGTTTCATAAAATGTATGTGCACAGGAAAAAATAATAAGCAATAATGTTAAATGTTAGATTGAGGCTTCTTAATCCTAAAATATACGAAGATTTTAAAAATAAAACAAATATTAATCAACATATTCTGTAGACTAATAACATATATATATTTTTTTTGCCGAAAGGTTTACAAATATTTTCTGAGTTATATGAAAAAACCATACCCACGGCAAAATGTAACTATTGTTAAATATTTATTTCTGCGCGTGGGCACTAAAGATGTCGGATGGCTGAAACTGTTGACAGGATGCGGAGTCCAGTCAATCAATACTCCAGTGTCCGTTGTCCTGCGCCCAGTGTCCTGTCCTGCCCTGTCAGTCAGTCAGATTGCTCCGCCCATAAGTTTTGATGGTCGTGTGGCGCATTAAAATAATGAAATTGCCAGCAGATAAGGAGCATCGATGCCGCTGCCATTCCCGTTTCTAATCAATTTTATTTATTTGGCCGGGCATTCAGCGAAGCGAAACAGAGAACATGCTCGATTGTCTTTATGTTTGGCTAACTGTATAAATATATACATACTATATATATATTTATGCCGCTTTAAATGTCTTTCTTGGCAACAGATCGCGCCTTTAATTGTTAGTTTCGCCCTTATTCCCATCTGAGGGGCCCAGACTCTGAATATTTTTAATGCACGTTTGCTGTTTGCGCTTCCTTTGTTTGCCTTTCTTTATTTTCCTCCATCCGCCAGGCCCCCGCCTTTGTCATCCTTGCCGCACTTTAGTGCCTTGCGCAAAAAGGACATCTTTTCTTTTCGGTTTATTGAGGCACATGAATATTCTTTAGCTGCTTATATCCCGAACCGACGCTGTGTGAGAACGCCTTTTTGAGGCATTTATTTTTCGCATTATGTTTTATATTTGTCCAAGGACAACAATACTTTATGCATTGTGGCGAGGCTGTTATCCAGTTTGTGTTTCCTTTTTCTCCTTTTCTAAGAACATTAACGGGGAGTGAAATATTCGAACTCGACACTTGCAGAATAAAATTGCTGAATTTATCCCATAAAAGCTGGGCTTTATGCAATTTCTTAAATTGTTTTCGATGTCTGTGTATAAAACTCTTAGCATTGTTTATCTTAGACTAAAACATTTTATAATGAAATACTTTATATTTTTATACCACTAGCCGTTGCATTTATATAAGTGTAAGCCTGGTGAAGTGGCACTTGAAATTTTAAATTAAATTCGAGCACACTTTCTTGGCTGCTTATTTATTATTATCTCTTCGCTTCTCACTTCCCTGTTAATTGTCCAATTAGACCGACAATAAAATAAAAGTTGTTGACTCACCGGCCACTGCTCATTAGGGGCATCTGCACCTTGAATGTTTGCTCTTCTTTTCCTTTATGTTTAACTGGGAAAATGGATTCGTTCGCGTGGGAAATGGAAAACGTAAGGAAAAGTCAACGCCGCTAAAAAAAAAGCGAGTCAAAGACTGGCATGATAAATGAGCTGCAGTCGAATGCACACGTGGGAAAACCATGGGACTCACAAGACTCCCAGGACACTCTACACCCACTCCAACTTCCACTAGCTTAAATACCCTTTTTGTAACGCTGTACATTTGTTTGTCTAGCACACAATTGAACGAGTTTGTGTGCGTGTGTTCCACTAGTCAGTCCCTTAACTGGAGCCACAGGGCGTATGCGCAATGCATCGTATATTAAGCACTTCACAGGAAATACAGCAATTGCTGTAAACGAGATTCTCGTAAATGAAAGCCAAATATTTTCATTAACACTTCAGTGCTTTTCCTTGTTGAGCAAATTAAGTGCGAAAATATACAATGTTAATCGAAAATATTTGTGTGAGAGAAGATGAAGTAAGGAATTAGTTTAAATATCATAACCTTAAATACTTTGAGATGACGTCTTATTAGCCTGGAGACCTACTGTGGTAGTGATATTTCCATGACGTTCTTGATCTTGAACGTAAAAGGAAAATTCCATTGCCCAGGCAACCAGAAGTATCCAAAAATAAATCAGTTATATTTACTTCCGCCTACTGTCATCCTCACATTCTGCATATGCTTGTATTTTAGTTGAAAGTTCCTTCATGTTGTTTGCCCACGTAACTCGAAGTATCCTGGACACATATTGACCAATGCGAGGAATGGCAAACAATATTCCTGTTTACTGTTTACTGTTTGTCCCTCCGGAATTGAGAGTGCCCTGGTCGTCCTTTTTTTTTACCATTGTACGACAATTTGCTTATGCCCAGTGTGCCATTCTCCCCAAAGGCACTTGATGCGTAATCAGTGGGACAAACTGAATTCATCTACGACCATCTGCCCGGACATTGCTGACAAATCCGATTGGGTGTCGCATTAGAAAAAGGGGGGAATGCGAGGACCCAAGCCAAAAGGGAAAGACTCTTCGGCCATGGTCTCTCTGTTTCGGCTCTATTAGCTGGATTGTCTTGGCCATAATGGAGTTAATATGTATGTATATGTATGCAGGAGCTGTCTTTGATCCCAACACTCGAAAAGGACAACTCAAAATGGACGAATGTGGGGGCCAGCACGTGCTGGGGAAATATATGTCGACTTTAGGTCTTCATCCGGCAATGCCAGGAATATTAGTCAATTGTGTGATGGCCCAAAAGGACTCAGTTCTACGAAGGGAAAACTGAGAGCTTTGGACTAAAATAAACATTTAAATGACCTCTGAAAAGACCATCTGTAATTGACTTAGAGGCAATTATGTGTTCTTTGACTGAAAAATACCTCTGTTATGATTTAAAAGGTTTTTTCATAAAATTTTACACTTTTAGTTTCTAAAATGTTGAGTTCCATTGTTACTATTTATATTTATATTTTTAAAAAGTAACTAAAGATATTTATTCCATAAAAAAATTCTTTGAAATTCCAAAATAAAATAGAATTTTGTAGCCTTAGCACGATAAATTTAACTTACATTGCCTTTCATGTTTTTCCACTTCGTTTATGGTCTGGAATTTATCGAGTTATACTAGCATATATGCACCTTTATTAAACGTATTTTAGTATCGAGCAAAGGAAAGTGCATATTGGAATTTCCCCCAGGCACAGGAAAACCATTTTGGCCAAATGAAATTGAGAAAACGCCGGTGCCAGGACAAAAGAAATGCCAAAACCGTTCAAGATCTGAGCACACGAAAAGAAAAAAAATAGGATAGATGCAACGATTTCAGTTTGGAAACGTGGCAGGATTTCCATGGACATAGCTATTCCCATTTCGGTTTAACTTGCAACGTGGTAAGTGTGAGGCCAGCCACTTTCGAAGGCCTACAACCGGAAGTGTTCCTCAGCCGTGAAACAATGTCCTGGCCAAGAGGCTTTGTAAGCCCTGTTAACCTATGGGCAGCTCTTGTGAAAAAGCAATACACTAAAAAAAACCCTTAGAGTTTAATTCAAAAGTTTTTTATTCTTAAAATTAGTTCATAAGTTTGGTTAATTATTTTTTGTTCTTATGATTGATTTAAGATTAAGAAAAACGTTGCAAAACAAAACTAATATTTGATTATGTAATATAAATTCTTGAAATAGCACGCTTTTACTTTTAAGTGCTCACTGTAATTGTGAACCTACTTCTGAGGCTGTAGCCACTTGCGAATGCGGCCAAGAACGCGGCTGTGGCTTAAACTTTTCCGGGGCGAAATTTAATTTGCTGCACTTTAAGCTGCAGGCGCCACTTCGGCGTCTCCCTTTGCCTCCATTCAGTTTTTCACCATTTTCTTTCTTTTATATATATTTTTTTGACTCCTCCGCCAGCAGCTTTTCGTTTTATTCAGTTGCTGGCTTGTGCGAGTTTTCATGCAATTTCTTTTTTAATTTCGCTCAACTTAGTCATGCGAAATGGCACTTGATGCTCCTTGGTTATGCGTGTGTATGTGTATCCTTAAGTGAGTGTGGGTATCTCTGTATCTCTGTGAGTGTGTGTGTGCGTGTGCGTGCACATCCGTTTGGGTTTCATGGGAATTAACGCTAAGCTGCAGGATCCGCGTTTCCGTCTCCATGGCCATATTTTCTTGGGCCAGCAGCTCCCATTTTCCCGCCATTTCCGCTTTTCGTGTTTTTCTTCGCACATTTGCAGTGCAAATGAAGAGCCAAAACAGCAACTACAATAAGGACAAGGACGGCAGCAGCTAACAGTCAATTGTTGTTTTTAACTCTGTGGCAACAAGAAGGTAATGCAAATAGTTTGCCCTTCTCTATTCCAGGCACATACAAAAACATTCAGCACTTAATTCTACATGCCACGCCCCCTTGTATAACTTATATTTACAAATTTCCAGAACATAGTTCAAAGCTGTTTGACTATCAAAGTTATAAAGAGTCGAGAAAATGTCTTTATTAAAGTTAGCTAAGTGGTTCTAACAACTAGTTTAACAAATGAATTTCAATTGCTTACAACAAACCTAGTGCCTAACTCAGATAGCTAAAAGCTTCTTTAAATGCCACTTTTTGAGATGAAACCCGAAATCTACTAGTAATAAAGACCTTCGCTGGCACTTTGCTGCCAAAAAGCATTTTCATGTCGCCCTAAAATCAAGGCTGCAATGGCGAAAAAAGTTATTTTTTAAGTTGCGGTTGATGTATTTTTCTAGCCGTCAATCAAACTCTCAAAAAAACTATAAAAGCGTCAGAGAGTTTAAAGTTTTTTTTTGCATTTTGTTTAATATAAAAGAAGGATAATTTAGCATTAATAGAAAAACCACATTCAAATTCAAATCATTCCTAGTTAACTACACTAAACTCAGTCGATGATCAGGTATTTGTCTGCGGAAATTATTGCACAGCATTCCGTTAAACCAGATTGATTGCTGTCCTATAAGGAAACCTATTTGTATATACGTACTTAG